CACCTACACATGTGAAGCACTTAGAAGCGTGCTGGGGAGGAGGCAAGCTGCATGTCTGTTCTCATCTTCCTCACCCTGGGGCCAGATACACAGCCTCTCTTAGTCTCTTATTTTGCTTATTTTCAAAATGGGATAATAGGATTATGATGAAATAATATATATGTCTCAAATGACATTGTACAAAGCACAGTAGAAATTCCGCAGATAAGATATAATTACAAATATTTTGATTTAATCTCATGGATTTCCTATATTTGGTTTTGAAATTAAAGAACTAGCTACATAGTAAAGAACTAAAGACACCAGCTCTTGAGGTGATTTATGTAGTGAGCAAAGACATTCTTTTAAGTGTAGTTAGACATTATATAGCCTAGATTTTCCCCTAACATCCCTATTGGGATTCTGTTTGAAATCCTGTTACAATGTCTTTCTTAATGTCTTATGAAATAACACTTTGTGATTATAATAAAAATTTTGAAAATGTGGGATATAATCTTATTTATTAAGAAATAAGCACGCTTCTCAGTTTAATGTAGTGTCTTCTAGCCCTTTTCCTGTGCTTTAAAAAATGAAACTGTGATCACACAATTGAATACGTATGTGGAAGTGTAGACAATGAAAGAGGGGAGTTCTGGAGTTTCCATATGCTCAGGAAGGTAACAATCATGGTTCCTTGTAGAGGCACCCAGTGGCAGCAAACTCACCTTGACTGACTATGCAGTCTTGTCCTCTCCTGTAGCCAGGAGGTAACTGGATGTCAGGTGCTGGCCAGGTGGTGATTCAGGAGCCGGGAGGTTCTCCCGAGGACACATTTTCCTAAGAGTTCTCCTTTCCCCTCATATTCTAGTGGAGATGAAACCATTTTGGATCTGCTTCGTGGAAATGAAGTTTTTGTTTGTTTGTTTTTTAGAAAAATGTGTATCTAATTCTTATACACCCTGAAAAACCACCAGTTGCAATCCCAGCAGCTTTAGAAAGCTGCCAAGTTTAAAGCAGGCTTTAGTGTGCCTCATTTGAACCTTCCTTTCATAGTAGATCCACATAAGTCAGAGCCTGAGCTGCCCTTCTGCCTTTCTGCATATGGTATAGCATTTGTCAATATTAAATTTAATTTGTGCTAAGAGCAGTTCACTAACAGCGAAAACACAAAGCTTGCTGAACTTTACTTCACCTGTGTTCTCAGTACAGCCAGCATTAGAAACCTAATGAATTCAGTGAAATTGTCCTACCCAAATCTAGGTCAGCTCTGTACATTAGAAATGTTGGAGGTTTAAGGACCAAACCTGTAAAAACCCACTTAAAATTGAACTATATTGTAACCTATTGCATCTCTTGTACTTTTTAAATAGAAGAATGTATTTATACCCAATTACCAATCCAATGGGTCAACATTAAGAGGTATCATCAACAGACATTTATTGAGCGCCTATTGTGTGCAAGGCACTATACTAGGTATGGGGCTACAGAGACAAAGGAGAAACAGTCCCTGCCCTCAAGGAGCTTACAATCTAATTAGACTAACAGTACACATACATAAAAAGACAAAAGGACAGTCCAAGGTAGCATATAACATTAGGGCACTGAGAAGAAACAAACAGGACTTCAGCCTTTTTTTTTTGCATTTGCATTTCAATACCCTGAGTAGGTGGGGGTGAGTGAGCTAGAATAGAGGGGTTACTCCTGTTCATTGTTAAGCCTTGTAGACACTCTCTCACCACTTTCCATTCCAAAGTATCTTCTGGCATGTGCTAAAACCGAGGCATTTAGTTCACTCCTCCTGCCCCCCAGGCTTATTATTATAGTTCTCCTTGAGGTGGCCTTATGATAGGGTGACACACTGTCCCAGCTTGCCTGGGACTACTCTAGTTTTAGCAGTCAAAGTCCAAGTCTTGGAATTCCCTCTTCTTCCTTCCTCCCCCAGCCCCGGGCAAACCAGGATGGTACTTCTGAAGTACCTTTCCTGTAGCCACACGTACTCCTCCCACCCACCCTGGGCATTACTCTGGCAGGGCCTACCTCAAAGCTGTTCCCCAGATAGATTTCTGGTTTAAAAAACCTACAAGGAAGACCTTAACAGCCCCAAAGACTGCTGGTTTAAGAGCACACTGCCAACAAAAGAAGACACTCAGGAGAGAATGGCAGTAAAGAGACAGAATGAGGTTCAAGGGAGAAGCAATGAAGATGGAAGAAAGCATTGGGTCGGGTATGAAACACTTTAACATCACCTCCTAACACTGCAGAGGCAGAACAGGAACATGAACGCTTCTCCCAGAGTAGGTCCATTTAACAACCTGAATCACTACTCTGGTGGAATCAGGGTCACTCTTACAAAGGGCAAATATTTGGGGAGGAACTAAAAAGGTACATATGTATTTAAATAGCACTGTCTTAATCCTAATAGAATTTCAACTTTTTTCTTCCACTTTTACCTAACATTCATTTAGCTTCTAAATCAATAATTTTAATTTTTGAGAAAAGTTTTTATATCAAAATGGTATTATTTGCCTTCATTCTAATGTAATTCAAATAGATCTGTAATGGAGAGAACTTCAGAAGACAAAGGTCATCTATGTTGAGGGGTATTATTTGGAATCTGATGTACAAATCTGGTAGTAACTTCAGGATTCGAAGAGAGCACACAGATTTCTCTTTTAGGTGTAGTACTCTGTGTTTTGCTTTTGTTTATTTTTTTGAAGAAGAGATCTAACTCTGAAAGCTTATGACCTTAGAAGTTCCTGAATTACTCTGGTTTTACATCTAGCCCTTAGGAGAGCATACCAGGGTTAGTGAAGCACAGGGACTTAGTTGCCAAACACCCATTAACAGTAATGGGAATCACACAGCCAAGTCCCCACGCAGCACAATGAATATTTACCTCCTAATGTTCTTTTAATGTACGCTTTCTTGGGTGAATATTTACTGTAGAATATTAAATGTGAGATTCCTCCTTTTATGGGCCATTTGAAGTGATTGATTTTGTTTGTGAATTCCTGTATCTTTGCCCATAATGGCTATCTATTGTAATGGCCTCTGCCAAATGTTCTTGTGTTGAAATAACAGAAGCCATGGATCGGCCAGCTGTGGTATTGTATTACTGTGGTCTTAAAAGCTAGGAGGAAGCTGATGTTACAGCTGGGGAGAGGAGAAAAAGATATGTAACATAATGACTTCATATGACTTAGGGTTCAGACAGTCAGATATTGAAATCACTGAGGTCTGCAAACATGGTTTTGTAGTTATCTTTTATATCAGAGTTTATGTTTAATGGTGTTGAATGGTGTTAAGACTGTCATGGAATGATAGTGGCAAGACAAGAATTCAATTGCCCACAGTCTGGTCCATCAGCACAATCTATCAGATTTCTAGGCATTTTCTTTAAAGTTATAATGAAATCACTACCCGAGTGATAATTTCTTACACTTATTTACACCATGTATTTTTTAAAATGTGAACTTACATGTCCTAGCTACATATAGATTTAGAACATTTCCCAGTGAAGCCAGGACTTTCAGAATGTAGTTGCTTTTTACTTTTTTGAGTATTTGAGACAGAGAAGTTACAAAAAAGATGGAGCTATCATGATTTTTTTTAAAAAAAGAAAAATATAAAACCTGAAGATACACAGACATGTGAGATATTATTAGATCAAGTAATATGCCATGTCTCAACTACACTTTTCCAAATTTTCATAAATACAGAGGTTGTCAAAGGAGCCACTTATATCTGAGTAACAATCTCTTCAAGTGGTTGTAAATGTGGCCCTATAAACTCAATGTATGAAATTCATACACTTTTTCAAATGTTCATAAAACATTGTGTGTTCAGTGTCCATACTGTGGAAGAGATTGTGTTGGAATAAAACTCACAGTCCCTTTAAAAACTATGAGAAAATTAAAGAACACATTCCAGTATGCTCTGGACAGCCATTTTAATTTTACTGGCTTTAAACAGCTCAAGCTACACCACAGTAATTCCAGCTTTGTTTTTTCTATGTGAATACCTGGACTGTGTTTGCATTTCAACAACAGTACTCCATATAATTAATAGTATTGGTGTAGGGGAATGGAATCTTTTTGCTAATTAAGAAAAGGAAAAGAAGTGGTACTGTGAGAAACCTTCTTTAATCACAAGCCAGGTCATGTTCTGTAAAACAATGTCAGTGTCCATACATAATATTTGTTGGTGCCTTCAAATCTGGCATTAGAGAAACTAATGCCTCTTAAGCCATGCGTAAAGAAAACATTAGTATATTTTTTAAAGACTATTTTTGAACAATATTACTTGTTTAAATGAAAATCTAAAATTCTAATTGATCTTGGCTCTGAATAAAATAAGTCTGTCATACTAGGGAAAGGCAGTGAATATAATCTAAGAAGATTTGCAATAAATGAGCCTAAATAGTTCATAGGATAAATGAATGGGATGATCCTGTATTTTCTTTTGAAAATCTAAAATTCTAATTGATCTTGGCTCTGAATAAAATAAGTCTGTCATACTAGGGAATGGCAGTGAATATAATCTAAGAAGATTTGCAATAAATGAGCCTAAATAGTTCATAGGATAAATGAATGGGATGATCCTGTATTTTCTTCTCACAGAAGGGCAGTTCCTTGCTCTTACAGCCAAGGAACACCTTGAAAGAATGCTGTCTTTCTTTTTATTTTTGGTGTGTGTGTGTGTGTTATTTCCAGAGAAGTAGGGAATAGATTTTAGCCAAAAGGGGACCCAGGAGGAAGTATGTTTTTAACCACAAGAGGGAGGTAAGTAGTAAGTGAATATAAAAGGTCCCCCCAAATTAGGTTCCTACTACTGTTGGAGCCCCATTGTCCCAAGTGCTAAATCCTCAAATGGGTCAGCGAGAACCTCATAGAACTTTAGATTTGGAATGAAACCTAAGAGGTCATCTGGTACAGTGACATCATTCTGCAGAAGAGGAAACCAGGGCTTACGAGAAGTTACTCATATCAATTTTTACTAAAGAAAACTATCTTTTCTCTTGATAGCATTTTTTGTTTTAATAACACAGTTTTTGGTTCTCAATTTTGTCCCTTTGGAGCATTTCTACACATTGGAAAATGTCATAGCTATTCCTGCTGAGAAAAAGCCATTTTCCTGAAGCCTACAGGTTCAAAAAATGCAACACAACATTTCCAAGTCTAATACCAATTGCATGCCAACAATGAGCACTGTGAACATAGAGTAACGCATTAACCCTAGTCTGGGCCTTTTTCACCCATCATTCAGGATTAAAGAGTTAGGAAGGACAAATTACCACATAATCATAATCTATAAAAATACTGGCCTAGAGTACACTAAAAAACTTTCAATAAATAAATATTGGACATTTGCTTTATGAAAGTCAGTGGAGATGTGCTCTTCAGAAATCATGTCTATACTTTCACGCTGCTTTTTTACAAATCACACATAGAGTCTAACAGAGGACAAAGGTTATAGATCAGGTTAGGATACAACTTGATAGAAAAATGTCTTTGACATGGTATTTCTATAAAGGAAAGCAACTAATACTGTTGAGTTGCTCATGTTTACATTTTGAAGGCAATGCTTAAAGAGATCCAGAATGTTTTTGGCCATGGAAGCATCTCTGAAATGAGTGTTCAGCTCCTAAGGTAACACCTTTGAAAGGGACAACACTCATTAGGATGTATTTATTCTGGAATTTTTTCTTACAAACCAACTGCACTGCTTCCTAGCATGCCTGGTAGGCATCTGTCCATGGTACCTCTTGAGGAGTGAAGCTGTTTTCTGTTCCTCTTTCCTGTCTGGTGGCTCAGGAAGTTCAGCGCCCCAGGGTCTGACATAGTAGGTACTTGGGATTATAGTCTCACTCCTCAGAACACAGGTTTATTTTCAGGATGATTTATAGCAACTGATTCTGGTTTCCAGTCTGGTTGAAAAAAGTGAATATTGAATGTCCGTGCCCAGTTCTTAAAGACTCGTTTCTCTGTGATAAAGCGGTGATGACTGCCTTTGCGTCCTCGCTCGTGGGAGAGGTACATTGTGCATTCATCAGGCCCAAAAGGTTCATAATAATGATAAGGTACTGAAGGGTGATTGGGATCCCTGTAGGAGGAAAATGAGATAACTGATTAAAGCAAAAACAACAACAAAAAAATGTTTTTCTTTGACAAGATGTTATCTTTAATAAGTTGATAAGCGCAACTCATATTTTCTAGTTAAATGAATCTCAGCAAATGATTTTTCTAATGTTTAAGCAATAAGCAAGTGGAGGAGTTTTTATGATGTGAAATAAATGCAGTGGCCATTGTTATCAAACAAAGAGATTAGAAATGTGCAGTAGGACATTCAAGGCTTCCAGGATTTAGACACTACTTACTACAAAGTCACAACTATAGTTCTTGTTTCCACACTTTTTACAGTATATTTGTCACATGCAACTATAGAGATATTTACAAGACAAAAACTGATCATTACCCCTTCCTACACTAACTCCCAACCTTCCAGAGACTTCCAGTTGTAACAGGAGCATGGCTTACAGGGTGTTACATGATCTGGCTCCTCTCCAGAGTCTTCTTGTAACCCATACAGACTTGTCCACTATGCTCCAGTCATACCGGCCTTTATGGTTGTCAACTCTGCTAAACTTGTCCCTACCTTGGGGCCTTTGCACTTGAGGGTGGTCACCTGTTTGGAACACTCTCCCCATGAATTCACTCCTTCTCACTGTTGGGTATCAACTCAAATGTATCCTCCTCAGAGAGGCCTTACCTGACACCTGCTCCCTTCATGCCATCTCACTGGGATTCATATTCTTTATAACATTAATTGTTTTCTACAATTGCTGCCATTGTTTACTTGTTTACTTTCTGTTCACGAGGGCAGGGATTTGTCTTATTCCTAGAACAATGCCTGGTAGGCGCTTTATAACATTAATTGTTTTCTACAATTGCTGCCATTGTTTACTTGTTTACTTTCTGTTCATGAGGGCAGGGATTTGTCTTATTCCTAGAACAATGCCTGGTAGGCGCTCAATAAATAATTTTTGAATTTTTGTTGCTAAAAGAAATTTATATGGAATTAAGCAGCTAAACAGCAAGCCTCTGAAGAAATTTTTCCTACAGATATGTAAAGTTGTGATCCTAGTTTCACCCTATAGGAGAAAAAGGAAGACAGAGCAAAACACCACAATTTTTCTCTTGTTGCCCTAGCTGGCCCATGTACTCTTAGTCCAGAAATTCTAAATTCTCAATCCCTGATGGATAGCCTGATGGTCCCAGAATTTTTCTGCTTCTATACCCATGCCTCAGTCTCAAACAAGAAGCACTGGCTCATTTCTTCAAAGTGGTGTGCACAGGATTAGCACATAAGGATGGTGGGCTCAATAAATAATTTTTGAATTTTTGTTGCTAAAAGAAATTTATATGGAATTAAGCAGCTAAACAGCAAGCCTCTGAAGAAATTTTTCCTACAGATATGTAAAGTTGTGATCCTAGTTTCACCCTATAGGAGAAAAAGGAAGACAGAGCAAAACACCACAATTTTTCTCTTGTTGCCCTAGCTGGCCCATGTACTCTTAGTCCAGAAATTCTAAATTCTCAATCCCTGATGGATAGCCTGATGGTCCCAGAATTTTTCTGCTTCTATACCCATGCCTCAGTCTCAAACAAGAAGCACTGGCTCATTTCTTCAAAGTGGTGTGCACAGGATTAGCACATAAGGATGGTGAATTCCCTTGTCATAGGGTTACTAAAAAATTTAACCACCAAAGAGCCCTGGTCTCAGACTGGTCTCCATTCTAGGCCAGTCTACCTCACCCCTTCTGTCTTTTGAAGAGTAGCTGATAAGTTTAGTCAAGATTTCGCAGCAGACAAACCTTTCTACTTTGAGCTACACTCACTAACTGGCCTTGTTGCAGAGGCTAAGAAGAGAAAGGGCCCAGGCTGCCCAGCTTCTTGCAAACCACCTCTCAGATGCTCACATCCTGGGGTCCACCCTCTGTTCACTGGGGCTCTCCCCTAAGAACAGTATCATGGTTTCCCAAAGATACTCACCCTGCTAGACACCTATTCATTTCCTTCAGAGGAGATCAATACACAAATGGCTTTTAGAGTAGCAACTTTATTGGGGTCAGGGGTTGAAGTCTTTTATCAAGAAGGGTGTCGAGTTTGTGGCTCTGACAACAATAAACCTCTGAGCTACTTCTCCTCTCAGGTTAAAGTTCTTCCAGGAGGAGAGATTTATTTTTGTCATGCAGCATCTGAACATTCCTCATCCTGGCTTGGATGCTGTGCTGTACTGACACTTTGCATCTCTAATATGCTTGTCTCGGAAGTATCTCTGTGTTCTGTAGTGAAAAACTGGACTTTTTCCTGTATAGTCATTACAGATTTCACTAATTTACTTACCCTAGAAATTGGAATCCCCTTAAAATTTTAATAGAAAGTGTTTTTAATACAGAAAATGCATCCTAGGAAAAATTCAGGTCGGAACAGGCCACTATGAAGAAAAAAATAAACAAAAAGGAATAAAAACTTGTGAGACAAATCTCCCCAGATTCATATGGCATAATTTGGGGAGCCATGCCAAATTCATGCTGCCATGGTATACTCAGAGTTAAGCATTTATTCCATCACAGATTAGGTTTTAAATCTGATTCATCTAAATTTTGGACATATTATTGGCATCAGTCTGACTAAAGAAACAATTAGGTTTCTAAAAATATCACAAGATTGATTTGGCATCTAGGAATAGAGGGTAATTGGAAACTAGCTAAAGGATGTTATAGGATCAATTTCCTTATTCAGGAAGACCATCTCTTTGAATGAAAACTTATTTGGCTCCATATTGATCACCTAAAGGGAGAGTTAAATTTACGTATTTGGTTATTATGACTTCAAAAGTGTCCAGATAAGTCATTCTTGTAAGTGAGAGTTGTTTTCATGATTTAAAACTCTGTCCAACCAGCAGAAAAGTGCTATGTAGGACTTGGGAAGATAGAGCCATGGTAACTGCAAGAACAGCTCTCTGGCTGTTCATCAGCTGCGACCCACCATTCCATTTAGAAAGCCCTTCCTAGCTTAACGTCATAATTCCTTAGGTCAAAGCTGGCTTTCTAGAGGCTGCCATAGCTTTTTCTTTCTCCACCTGACCCAGGTGAAAACAATAAACATGAGTGGAATTTCCACATGAGGAGGCTGTTGTAAAAGGAAGGATTCTGGTGCCCAAGTTCCCGTTTTGGGCCAGGTGATGCTAAGAAGAGGAGGTGTTCACTGGGGAGGGGGTGGGGATGGAGATGGTCACAGAGTCAGTTCCCCAAGTGTCTGCAGCCTGCCATCAGCTTTCTACAGCCAGTGCAGGAACAAGTCCTGCAGATGACGGGAGGAAGTTTTTTTTTTTAGAGGAAGCAGGTGGGGAGAGCGAAGAAACTAACATTTAGTGTACATAGGAAGCTTTATAGAAATACCATTGCCTGTGCTCCATGTTCATAGATTTTCATTTAAATTATTTGAAGAGGGTCCCAGGTACAGGTATTTTTAAAAGTGACTTAGGTTTGAGTGTCAAAATAAATAATGGCAATATCGGATTATAAAATCCATAAAATAACATAAATATACATGAGTCCATAATGATTTCAATAAATAACTGAATAAATAAGTACATGGGGGAGAAGAAACAGAATTTTATTACAGAATAATTCAAATTAATAAATGTAGAAAGAATGAGAGGATAGAAAATCACCCTTAGAACCTCACAATAATTGTTGCAGGCAAAATGCATGAATGAATGAAACATTAGTGGGAAAGAAAGATGAGGAGAAATAGGTTATCTAGTCTCAAAGTATCTCCCCCAAGTTATTTATTAATGACAAAGGGAAAAATACTAACTTTACAATGGAAAAGTCTGGCAGACACCACTTTAACCAAGTGATCAAGGTTGATATCACCAGTAATAAGACATACTGACATCATGTATCTCCTGATATGAGATGCTCAGAAGGGCTTATTACTTCTGTGGTATCCTTTCCAGTAATGCATAACCTCAATCTAATTACGGGAAAATATCAGACAAACCTAAAGTGAGGGACATGCTACAAAATACCTGACCAATACTCTTCAAAATGTCAAGGTCATAAAAGTCAAAGAAAAACTGAGGAACTGTCATAGATTTCAAGAGACTAGGGAGACATGATTAAATAATTTTTTTTTTTTTTTTTTTTTTTTTTTTAAGCTTCATAAAGAGAAAATGAATATAATTCATTTAAATCTTTCTTCTTTTTTTTTTTTTTTTTTTTTTTTTTTCCGTGTCCGGCAATGGATCGCAACCCTCAGTGTTGCCCCCGTACCGGACCGGGGACCGGCAACGGGATTGCAACCCTTGGTGTTGCTCCCGCGCCTCGCTCAGCCAGTGAGCGGAACCGGTCTGTATGTGGGATCCGAACCCTCGGGCAGGAGCGCCGTCGTGCTTCCCAAGCGGCGCACTATCCAGTGCACCACCGGGCTGGCCCTAGACCCTGTACTCTTAAGAGTGAGGTTCTTTGTCTTGGAAAATCGGAGTTACTGTACTAATGTCACCCCAGGTTTCCGCTGAGATCTGCAGTGCATGGTTAGGAGTAGCTAGTCCTTGCTTTATTCTTCCGAGCACCCCCCTCACTACAGAGGCACCCCATGTGCGGTGCTCGCTGTGTAGCTGATCAAGGTGGTAAGCAGAAGCCTTGTGCTTATTTACAATTCTGCTCACTAATATTAATGGCAGCAGGCTTTTCATAAAGTTCCATTTTTGAATTTTCTAAAGCTAAGCCATACAATTGGAGAAAACCCTCCCAAAACTTGTAACTTTAACAAGCAAGGGAAGATACTTCCATTTTTGTGTATCCAAGGGGTTCAGGACATGTTACCCTAAAATATGCTGCCTTGGCATCTGAGAAAATAGCAGAAGAAGGAAGGCCACTCTCACCTTCCCCTTCCCCTTCTCCCCCAAAAGACTTTCCTTTAAAGGAGAATGAATAAAACCTTCATTCCAGAGGTACCCAGCCTATACTTTGAGGAAAGGAACATCCTTATCCTTGGAGACAGAGATGTCAAGAAGAATCTGAACAAACAGGT